TGCCTTAGGGGCGCCCTACATTCTTTCTCTATTCAGTGGCGCTGGGAGATTTGCTCATGGGCGGTGCTGGAGGGGGTCCCAGAGGGATGGACTTATTTGGTTGGTGGATTGTTTCCTTCAGCTATAATTCCACTTTCCCAGTTTGGAGGCTGACCTTTGTTAATGTGCTGTCTTATCTACTTTTTTCCCCCTTTCCATGAGAGTAGAATAACAGCATGTATTTCTGTTTATTAACCTAACCCCTTTCAGAGACAAAGCAAGAATGTTATTACTCATAACAAAAATTGTTTTTGCGATTACTGTGGCCAGGCGTGGTTGATCCAGGTTTTTAGGGAGGAGCTCCTTAAGGAAAAGGATTCATGAATTAATAATCCTAAAATGAGGAACAGGGCCTTGGCAGGGGCCCCTATAATCAGGGACCCTGAAGCTTACCCTTTCCTACATGCTACATCCACCTCTGGCCGTGATACTTGGGAATTTTAACATCTTTTGTTTCCTCTAATCCCTCTTATTTCCAGTGTCGTCTTACTAGTATAATTATTTGATAAATCATATGAACCTAGATGTTAACTGGGTCTCTATAAAATGTAATGGGTCATCCCTGTCTCCACTTCTCCCTTTCTTCCCTCTTCCAGATAAGCTGCCCTGGTTGATAGCAAGGACTGTGGCCCTCAGGTCGGGTGTTATTGGTGACACCTGGTGACCTCCCTGAGGGCCTGTGGAGGGCTGGTGCAGTCACTGTGTTACCTGGCTCTTCCACCTGGCATCTCGTGAATGGGTGGCCTTGGTTGTAAGGACAGGAGGTCAGCATCGCCCCGTGATCACTCTTGACTAAATGACTCAACGATCTATCACCTCTCCCTTGCATACAAGGCAAATCATTGTTTCCTCCCATGTACATAGCAACCCAAAGGGGATTTTTAAGAATTGCATCAGTGATTTTAGTTATAGGGTTCAATAATTTGAGGATTCAGCTGGCATTCTTAATGATACCATGTATAAGAGATAAGGCTATCTGTACCTGCCCTGTAGAGGATGAGGAATGAATGAATGAGCTAGTAAGATAGAGAACAAGGAGGACAATTGAGGAACAGAGATAGGAAAACTCAGTAATGAGGAGGGGAGAGGAATAGAGAAATCTTACGTGGCTCTTTCAGTATCAGCAGTCAGGGAGTCAGGGAGTGGGGTCTACTTAGATGCCTGCATTTCCTCATCCACAAGAAGCTACTCAGTATTTTTTCTCTAAGAAGGGAGTTAATTTAGATGCAAGAATAAAAAGTTCCTATTATCAAGGACAATCTTCTTTTATTAATAACTCCTACATCTTTTTCTGCCTGGATGAATACTACTATGTAAAATCTTATTATATTCTGTTTTGCTACAATAATAGACTTCTTTAATAACCATTATTTATGGAGGCTTGTAAATGAAGATGGTGCACTACAAAGGAAGAATTCACACCTCAGTGATACTGAGTCAGGAGGTCATCTGATATATACCTCTGCCTTCACACCCAGGGTGAGGAAATGGTCAAATTATAGTTTGGACTGTGAGTTTTCACAGACCCCAATACCCTTTCACCAAAATGAAACCGTAATGGTCTTTGCACTCTCAGGAGACATGTTTTGTGTAGCTCAAGGCATTGGTTGATCAGAAATTCAGAGGATGAGTGCATGGATAGATTTGTTTTTGGAAACATATTCTTTATTAAATGAGAAAAATTGGTTAAGATTTAGTACTTAGCTACTAAGGAACCCAGTGATTTGAAAAATGATAGCCATAGAATTTTTACCTAAGCCACTGTTTTGATGTTGGCCATTTGATTTTATTTTTTTCATGTTTTCCACAAGAAGAGAGAGTACAGGCTGGCTCTCCTACCCTATAAGAAATTTGGAACGGGATCTCCATACCTATAAAACTAGCAACTACAGTTTTCATGAACTTTAGTTATAATTGGCTAACTGGAAACAACTTTCAAGGCCTTTGGACAAAAACTTGATTAGGATTCTTGGAACCATGGGCAAAACCCTATTCCATGCAAAATAGGAAATAATATTTAATGTGGGTTGGTTCTTCTCAGTCCTGGGTGAGAATCAAGATTAGGTTAAGTGATTGTTAATAAGTTGAAAATGAGAATTAATAATAATATGTTCAAACATTTTGAACTTGCAAGTTTTTTGGAGGGTCTCTAGGATGAAAATTCCCTGAAAATACAACCTTCTTAATCACATGGAAGCATTTAACAAAAGACACCGAAGCAAAAATTTCTCCAAACCACCACTCCCTTCCAGGCAAGTAAAAAATGGCAGGCTGGAACTGAAATGTACCTAGTGTTCCATTCCAGCCTGGAGAGTTCTTTGACTCCATCCCCTTGTGGCTGTTTGTACTTCAAAATGCCTTCTCATCAGTTCTCTAGAAACTTCAAATTGATTGAGGAAGCAAACAAGCAAACAGCCAACAAGCGGAAGAGAGTTAATATAACATCTTTTAGAAATGTGAATATACTGCTGGGCATACTTGGCCAGGCATCATTTATCCTTCAGGAATTAAAGCATTTTTGATGCAATTGACCTTTAAATCAAATTGGGGAAAGGTACAAAGGCAGCTTTTCCCTATGACTCTAGACTTGCCAAGGGGTTCCAGAAAAAGAAGTACACATTTTTTTAAAAGCATTGATTTTTATGCAAGTAGATCTTCAGTTCATATTGGAATATGATCATATACCTCCCTATAACTTATGGAAATGAAACATCAGTGTCTATGAGGTCTGAAAGAGGTAATCTCTGAGTAGTTCTCTATTATTGACATTTTTTAAAACTTCTTTTTAAAAGTAGGCTCTACACCCAGCATGGAGCCCAGTGCAGGGCTTAAACTCATGGCCCTGAGATCAAGACCTGAGCTGAGATCAAGAGTTAGATGCTTAACCAACTGAGCCACCCAGGCGCCCCTGTTATTGACATTTTTTAAAAACAACTTTAACCTTTTTGTTGATAAACCTTAAAGAAGTATTAATGTCAAAAGCATATATGTTACAAAGAAAAATTTAAGCTGGTGGCTGACCTCTTTTAGAAGACTCTTGAATCGGTCAGAGCTCCTGGTTGCAAGGGGCAGAAAGCCATCTCAAACTAACTTGGGCAAAAATGTTTATTGGGGTGCCTTATGTTTTGATTTGTAAAGTTGTGATGGCATGGCATTCTATTTTTAGAGAAGGAAATCATGCCAACAGGTAACTTCCCCACCTTCTGGCATTTGCAGAAATACTCATTTGAGCCATCCTTAGCTTCATTTTGCACTTTCAGGTTAATGAGGTTACTAGAAGTTAGTATTGTTAATTTTAGGGACGTCTGTGTGATTTTGCTGGGCCAGCATTCAGTTCTTTTTCTTCACATGACAATACCTAGATTTTCTTTTGGGAAACCAATACCTCCCCTATTCTCAAACCATGTGATTTACATGAAGTTGACACTATGTGTTTGTCCAAGAGACATGCTAATGACCCAGCTCTGGCCAGTTGGAATGCCACATTCCCCTGGCCAGTTGTGGTCCAAGGGTGGATCACCCCCCCTTTTTTTCCCTGAAACAGTTGGGAAAAAGTCTGGGAATGCTTCTGAAGCTGCTGGTGGCCACAGTGTGGAAAGACCAGAATGAGAATAAAGGCAAATGAGAGGAATAGAGTTGAGGGTGAGAAGTTCTTGAAAAGAGGATTAAAAGTCCAACCATGTCCAAGCTGGACTGTCAGATGAGACAGTAAAATTCTTCCCCTTCTCCCCCTACCCCCATTTTAGTTACAGCCTGTTTGATTTGGATTTCTGTACCTTGCCACCAATGTGAAAAATGGGATTATCTTCATGAGTGGTGTTATAATTCCTAGTTAGCCCTTCTGCACCAGTTCCTCATATTCCAGATGTCTACTGCTACATAGCAGATCACCACAAAATGGAGTAGCATCATTTTATTTCTCATTGTTTATGTGGGTCAGGAAGTAGGAAGGGCTTGGCTAGGCAGGTCTCGCTTGGAGTCTTCATGCAGTTGTAATCAGACTGTGCTGGAGCTGGAAAGGAGCAGGAAGTGAAGAGGGAGCAGCTGGGGGCTAGTAGGGCAGCACTGTCTCTTCACGAAGTCTCAGGAGCTCTGTGTGGACTACTTGGGCTTCCTCACGTCATGGCACTCAGAGCACTCAGATTGCTTACATGGCTGAGTGCTCCAAAACACTGGGTGTAAGTTGAAGTACCTTCTACGACCTAGCTTCCAAGGCCACAGAGTGTTATTTCCACCATACTCTGGTCAACTGGTCTATAAGGTTGGGGAGAGGATGTAGACCCTCCCTCTCAATGGAGACATGCCAGTGAACTTGAAGGCATGTTTGTAAACCATCACCATGTTATAAGCAATTTTCACATTGTGAGAAGTTACTATAGTCGGGATGATATATGTAAGTAGTCTTAGTTTTGTAAAGACATGTCTTTAATTTGTACTTTTGGGAGCTGGATTAACTTTCTCAAGTCATTAAGGTACCACCAAGCCTCGATTATACATACCTAAAATGAAGTCAAGATTTCTCATGATCTTTCAGGCTTCAGAATTTCATTTTGTTCTCATATTAGGCATTTCAAACTTCAACATGAATAGCATTGGAAAATCCTTAGATTTGCATTACTTCTCTACTTCACAATTGCTTGTATATTGATTTAATACTGAGGTGTTGTCATTTGGTAACTGGTACCTCAGTAATGTAGCTTCCGGAAGTGCTTAATTGTCTTAGTGACCAGTTAAGGAGTTGGGAGTGTCTCATTTTATGGACTCTATATGAAATAGCAATTAGGGTATGGATTTGTAAAACTTGACCTGTCTATCACTTTGCCTCCCTGACCAGTATTAGAAATCCTCCTTTATACCAAGTATTATCATGGAGTAAAAAATCAGAATGCAACTCTTTTCAGCTTTCTCCCAAGTGGAGGAAGTCAAACAGATCTCAACTAATTTTTTTTTTTCTGTTTCAGAATGTAGCAAGTAATCCATTGGAATAAGACTGGCAGTTGAGTAACTCATGCAAAGGTAATTTAGAGCACAAATTAAATCTGTCAGAGTGGTATTAGATTTGCAAAAGCTCATAAATAACAAATGAAAGGTCACAGAGCTGTGAAAATGAGAGTGTACTTCTTCATAAAGAGAACCATAGTCAGGGATGGGGTCCTCAGTGCGTAGTCAAATAGCAGCACATAAAATGGAAATGCAACATCTTTTCTAAATGTCTAGGACAGTCCAAAGGCACAGTGTCCTCCAGAGAAAAACATCAAGGTCCTAGAAAAGACCCTTCATCTTATCTGAGCATGTCCAGCATCATATCTGGGAGGCTTAAGGATTAAAGCTTCTTTGCCTACTGAGAATCTGTACAGAAAAAATACATCCCCCTCAGCAGAGCCCATATTTCAGTAATGGTTAGACTAATTGTGAATGCATGTAACTCATTTTTCATATTTTAGTTCCTAGAATATACTAATAGAGTGAGTAGTGTTTCATGATTTACTGCAGGAATGTAAGCAGTTGGTGGTGATATTAATAAATAGTTCTGCCCATTCTGTTTTTCTTATGGGAAAGAGAGGTGGAAAATATAGCCCTGGCTACCCAAAGTAAACAAGTTCTTTTACAGTGCATTGTATGCAGATTTTTTTTTCTTAGTGCTATGTTGGGCTTGACTTGTATAAGGGAACAAAATCTAGATTTATAAAAAGCAATGTGTGGGCTTCATCAAAATTAAAATTTTGATGAAGCCCACACATTGATTAAGAAAGTGAAAAGTCAACACAGAGAAAAGGAGAAAATATTTGCAAATCATATATCTGAAAAGTGTCCAGAGTCCAGAATATAGAAAGAACTCTTTTAACTTAACAATAAAAAGACAATAACCCATTAAAAAATGAGCAAAGGATTTGAATTGACGTTACTCCCGAGAAGATCTACAAATGGCCAATAAGCACATGAAAAGATGTTCAGCATCATATCACTTGGGAAAAGCAAATGAAAATCACAATGATATACCACTTCACACTCACTAGGCTATAATAAAAAAATTAATGAAAATAAGGGTTGGTGAGGATATGGAGAAATTGGAACACTGATATTTTGCCGATGAGAATGTAAAATGGTGCAGCCACAGTGGAAAACTTTGGCAGTTCCTCAAAAAGTTAAACCCAGAGTTACCATAAAAGCCTGCAATCCCACTCTTAGGTCTATACCCAAGAAAAGTGAAGACATATGTTCACACGAAAGTGTGAACGTGGGTGTTAGAGCAAAATTACTTCCAGTAGTCAAAAAGTGGAAGCCACCCAAATGTCCATGAACCGATGAATGGATAAACAAATGTGTTATATCCATATCATGAAATATTATTCAGCTGCAAAAAGGAATGATGTACCCATTCATGCTACCACATGGATGACTCTTAAAAACATCATACCCAACTGAAAGAAGCCAGACGCAAGAGGCTAAATGTTGTATGATTCTGTTGACAAAAAATGTTCCAGTAGGCAAATCCATAAAGACAGAAAGTAGATCAGTGGTTGCAGGGGTTAGGGAGAGAAGGGAATTGGGAGTGGCTGCTAATGGCACAAGAGTTCTGGAGGGGTGATAGAAATGTTCTGGACTAGGGGATGGGTGGTACAATATTATGAATATACAAAAACACTCTACTGAAGTAATACATGCTGATCAGAATTTTTTGAGCCTACAAATGAAGCAAAAAAAGACCATTAAAATTATCAGAAATCCTAAACCATTTTGGTATCTAGCCTTTCAGTCCTTCTTCTAATCATATATAAGCTTAGAAAATACAGATTTCCTTTTTTTCTAGAGAAGGAGCAATTTCATGAGTAAAACGTGTTGGGGTCATAGAATTTCAGCTACTTTAAGAATTCGGAAATTCTACATTAAACACATGTGTGAGGACACATCCACAGAGACATGCGCCTTCAAAGGGATATAAGATGGTGTGCTCGTGACCTGTGCTCTCTCAACATCTTTTAACAAGTAAAATCTAACGCGGATGTGTAAAGGTCATGGAGGTGGAACACAGGCCTTACAGGGTATCTTGGGGGCGACACGCGGAGAGTGTAGACGGGCATCACCCATCTGTTTGCTTGCTTGCTGAAGGATGGCAGGAAGTCACCTGGGTCTGCAGGAGCCTTGGCAATATGAAAATGTCCATGGCAGGAAGTACCCTCCCCCTGTCTCCCACCTGCTTTGTCCCTGCCTGACTAGCCATGGAGCAGATGTTGGGGTGAAAGAGATGTGCGGATTTCCAGTAGTTCTGGAAATTGCTGTATTTTTTCTGATTTAAGGAAAGGGAGCTGTGGGTTGAACCCAAATTCATGGCACCATATTCTCTTTCACTTAGAACACAACATTTACATCATAGTTACCTTGACTTAGAAAACTACATTGACTTTAAAGCTGTATTTTGAACAAAATGATAGTAGTAAAAATATTGGGAAATATTACACAGTATTTCTTGTGTGACAGACACGGTTATTAGTGCTTTACTCTGTTACCTCATTCTCATAAGAAACTTTTGAGGTAGGTAGTATTATGATCCTCATTTTGCAGATGAGAAGACTGAGGCACAGAGTGGTTAAATAACTGGCTCAAGGTTGCACAGCAAGAAAATGTTGGAGCGAGGTTTCAAATCCAGGTGTCTAGCCAATATCTCTGTCCATTACTCACACATAGTCATACACCCGTGCTGTTCAGTGAAGATTTGGGGCTGGGTACGTTTCATTTCTGATGACATTAACTAACGCATACTGCTTAGTGCAAGTACTGTGCAGAGGGAGACCTTTCAATCGGTAACCGGAAGGAATACCGTGGTTGAGGGATGCTTTTATTAAATCATGCCACTTGCGTTGTTTGCTGCATGTGAAGTACTGTGCTGCCAGCAAGTTTCACATTACAAAGAACTTAGGTTGGCAGCTAGTTGATATTTAATGTTAGGTTGTATTGAAAGAAAACCAGATAGCTTTCCTGGCCATCCCTCTCACCCTGGGCCGGGGCTGCAGACTGTGAGGAGCGGGGTGGGGGGGGCGGGGGCTGCTGAAGCAGAGCAGATTCATTCCTCAGCTGTAATCCCAGCTGGCCAGAGTGCGTGTAAAATGAATAAAATGAAGCACCACTGCATTCATTGAAGAGGAGATTATGTTTGTCTCTGTCACCTGGCAAACGAAAAATATCATTAATATTTGTTTGTTGCCTCATCATATTTTTCAAACAAGTGCCTAGCACAGTGCCTGGCAGTCACACTTATTAAGGGAACAAGCAGCTCATTCCCCTCTCGAATGCATGTTCGCCTGGGGAACCAAATGTAAACAGAAGATGGGGAATAAGCATGAAATTGGCAAGCCTGGCATCATAAAGCTGCTACCAGGTGATAAGAGTTCCAATCTTATTTCCTAATAGTTTGTTTTTAAAAAATAATGAATGCATCAATCCATCTGGAGTTAATGTGAGTGTATTGTGCGTTGTTTGGTTTTGGTTCATCTTCCCAGTTTTTAATTAAGTTATCAGAATATTATTCAGTTAATATTTTCCTGTTCTATAATTTTGAAAAATTACTTACATCATGTCAATAGCTGTGTCTATTTCTGAGCTCCTTAGAATGTTCTAGTTTCTGTATTCATTTTTATACTTTCTATCCTGCTTTGATAAATATTAATATCTGATTAGTTCATATTGGTTTTCCCTATTGATTTTGTTTTATGATGTATTTACTCTTGATCTATTTATTTTGACAAAATAGTTAGAAATTTATTTTGTCATACTTTTTAAAAAATCTCATTGAATATTTTAAAAAATCTCATTGAATTATTTTGTTATGCTTTTTAAAAAATCTCATTGAATATTCATATTAAAATTTATAAACAAAATGTCCAACTGGTGGTTTTTTTCTGCCAGTTTAAGATAAAGTGACTATCTAACATGACCCCTTGTGTGGGCAATAGAACGATGGTATTTACAAAAGAGTAGAACATGAGGAACAGATTCTATAGGAAAGCAGTAAGATGGCAAGCAATTAGCACATATAAATTAAGATATATATCTACATTCTTAGTAAGCCGGACAGTTCAACCCTAGTAAAAGATTTTACTGCTCTGGATTTTAATTGAAAAGGACAGAACCAGAATGAAGGACACAATGATGACTGGTTAGTGCTACAGTGATACTTTTACCTCATTTCATTAGTCGAAGTTTATACACCTTGAATCAGTCATTGGAAGAACAGAATAACACCTAGCATTTACAAATGTGGATTCAGTGGCCAGACTGTCTCGGTTTGAACCAACTCTTCTCCTTATCTGCTGGATTTCAGTTTACTCAAAATGGGATGGTAATAGTGCCTACCTCATAGGATTGTTGGGGGAATTAATTGATACATGGAAAGGGCTTCAGTAGCACCCGGCCAATATTGTTAGTTATGTTAAGGAGATTTCGAGCAGCAAAGATACTTGTTTTGGGAGAGGCCAATTTACCTACATTTCTTTCTTCCTTCCTTCCTTTTTCTTCCTTCCTTCCTTTTTCTTTCTTCTTTTTCTTTCCTTCCTTCTTTCTTTCTTTCATTCTTTCTTCCTTTCTTTCTTTCTTTCTTTCTTCTTTTTCTTTCCTTCCTTCTTTTTCTCTCTTTCTTTCTTTTTCTTCTCTTTCCTTCCTTCCTCCTTCCTTCCTTCCTTCTTTTCTTTTCTTTCTTTTCTTTTTTCGTTTCCGAATCTGAAAGCCTACCCTGTATAGGTTTTCTTGGACACCATGACCCAGAAAGCCTGAACTCTCATACCTGGCCTTCACCATTATCAAGGAAATGCTCTTGCACTTTTGTACCTGACTTACTTATTGTTGCATTCTGGCAGACATCCCCTGGCCCTCTGGCAAAAGTACCTGGATTTCATTAAAATCCAATCTCTCTTGATACCATCTCTGCTAGATATGAGAGGGGACTGCTACCCCTGGAGTTTTAGCTACTTGAGTAAGAATAGATTGGGGCTGGAATGTCCTAAATGCTCTGAAATCACCGTTCATAAGGCTTCTCTCCATGTCTGCTCACTTCCTTGTGCCTTTGGCTCCCTGTCTGCCCCAAGCGCATCCTCCCAGCACAGGAGCTCTGCCAAGTCTCCCATGGTTTCCTCAAGTTGGACATTGAGATGAGTCTTGCTTCATATTTCAGGTGCGACTTCCCTCCCGTGGTCCCAAGTTCTGGCCCCCGGGCCCCCTGCATGAGTGACGCTTCAGTCTGCCATGGACCCTGGCCCTGCCCTGGCCTGGCTCCTGTTCCTGAGCCTGCTGGCTGATTGTCTGAAAGCTGCTCAATCGCGAGACTTCACAGTGAAAGACATTGTCTACCTCCATCCTTCAAGTAAGACTCCGTTCTCTTTGCTGCAGAAGTGTCACTTTACTTTGAATAAGATGTGAGTTGGAAAATGGACAGGAAAAGTCAGCCTTCCATGCAGGGGAGACCTTGGCTGATTGAATTGGGGGGTGCAGATGCTCCCAAAGATGTTGTATGCTTTACCCTCACCTTTTTATAAGGCCTTTTTTATTTCAAGGCAGATTGTTAAGGCTTGTTTTCTCTGTTCCCAGCACAGTCGCTCTGATCCTGAACACCTTTCCCTTTAACTCGTGCCAGCTCTCAGTCAGTTATCAAAGTGAACCGGCATGTCCCAGGCAGAGGTATTCGTCAAAGATCAGTCCTTGAGAGGCAAGATAATCGCTGGTCTTCCTGTCTGTGCTTCTGATTCTCAGTTTCAGCGTGATTGGCCTCCCACAACTTCCTATTCTCTGTCCTTTTGGTTTCCTGTGTTTAAGAATCATCTAGGGAGTGCGTAATAACGTCGGTGCCCAGACCCCTTCCCTGGAGTGTCTGATTGCACATATCTGGGACTGTACCCATGAATTTTTGCTGAAAGCAAAAAACAAAACAGGTGCTTCTGTTACTGATGGTGTTCTAAGGATCACACTTCGGGAAACACAGCAGTTTTACTTCCTCTTTTGGTCTCCATCTCTGTATTTATCTTCTCTCTTTTATCTTTGTTTGAGTCATCTTCTGCATGGCCCCCGTGGTGGTGAGAGCCGGGTATGTTGGGTATATTTTGACCATTAGCATTTGCTCCGAGGTACGTTACTCTTTTGAAATGTTCTGTTCAGCAAACATTTTTTGAGTGTCTACTGTGTGTCAAGCGTTGTAATAGACGTGGGAGGTGTCAGGGCAAATAAAACAGAGTTCTTGCTTTTGAGGATCTTATAGTCCAAGTGGAGGCAGCCGCAGGGACTCCACATGGTTAGAGTATTTAATGTGTATGTGTTCTGGTTTAGATGAGAGGTGTTCCATGGAATGCATAGGGGCTTGGATCTTGGGTCAGTGGCTAGCTCAACTGCTTTGCAGCCTTCTGGGAGGGAGGGAGGGAAGGAAGGAAGGAAGGAAGGAAGGAATTCCCTAACTTTGTGAAGGTTAAATAAAGGAATGCATGCAAAGCACTTGGCAGAGTATGAGCCACAGTATATGCTCAATGAATGTTAGAGGCATCTTGTTAAGTGTTGAGTTCTACATTTCTAGAGTGGATGAAATAATACACACCCTGTTGCATTATTTTGTGAATGAGAAAGAATATCCATAAGATACTAGGCACATATATAATAGTCAATTGGATGTTCGTTGCTTAGGATGTTGTTGTAATTGGCTTAGATGGTAAACTTAGGTTGCTGAAATTATGTCCCTCTAATTTTTTAACTCCAAATATACATTTGGCAGGCAGCAAATAGTTCCTTCAGACTTACTGCTATTGTACACTCTCACCAGTAAAGGCTGGTGCCTACTGGTTAATTGTGTGGAAAGATTATCCGGCTCCTTGTTTTTGCGGGACTGTTGATTTTCGTAATCATGAAAAGAAGGTGCTTGGATACCTGCTGTGTTTTCTAGGATTGCATTTTGTTCTTTCCTCCAAAGAGCCATGCTTTTTTTATTAGACTTGGTGAACAAAAACCTAGATTTCAGTCTCAGTTGTGATTGCTAAAGCCTTCAGTTTCTATGGGATTCTTTGTCTGCTTCAGTGATAGACTCAATAGTCACTGGGCCGAAAAACAGGCCTCCGTTGAGGCTGTGATTGTCCACACAGGGTGGGGAGGAAAATCAAGGGGATTGGATTTAAGTGCACAAGAATAAAACAAACACACACACACCACTCCTGTGCCAGTGTTGTGGTGGGTCAGTGCCAGGGTTGAGTGGACCCCTATCTGAAAAGTCCATTTCAAAATGGGATCTCTGAAGAATGAGCTCTGCCAGGCCAGAGAAGCAATCACCCCTGCTCTCTAGAAGTTGGCAGGAAAGTTCCACTCATGTAGCCTGTGTTAATTAAATAAGGCCATGACCTGATTAAAAAGAATTCACCAAATAAAGGCACCTGAATGGCTCAGTTGGTTGAGTGGCCAGCTCTTGGTTTCGGCTCAGCTCTTGATCTCAGGATCATGAGATTGAGCCCCACACTGGGCTCTGCACTCAGCATGGAGTCTGTTTGAGATTCTCTCCCTCTGTCCCTCTCCCCCCACTCATGTTCTCTCTTTCTCTAAAATAAATACGTCTTAAGAAAAAAGAATTCCCCATATAGAAAGAATTGGTGGGGTTTTCTGATATGATCTTGAGCTATGGAGGCTAGAAGATGTCATTTCTAAGCTAGATTACACATAAATGATTCACCAGCAGCTCTGGGCTGAGTTCTCAGAGTCTCTGTAACTGGTCATTGGGAGTAAAAATTCTTGCTGGATTGAAGTTACTGTCAACAACAGTTCCTACTTCACATTTCTCTGCACTATTTCAGAAGTTTTTGGTGTTTGTTTGCTTGTTTTTACACTTTGATTTTTTAAAAGGTCATGTTCCTCTGCCCCTGAGCAGCACCCACTAGACCAGGTTTAGATGGAGTGATCTCTCTACAAATAAGCAGGTTTCTGTAGAACATAGACCATAAAAAATAGATGAGGGAAGAGTGGGATTATTTTGACTTTGAATTATTAATATAATCGCCTCACTTTGTAGATGGAGGCACAAACAACTTTCTTGGGGTTAGCGAGCAAGCCTGATTCCATTTATGTTAGATACCGCTCAGAACCTACCCAAGGAGAAATCAATGATGCCATAGATGTTGAGAAGACACACGAGTTTTCTACACCAGGCAAACAAACTCATTTCCCCTGGGCTGCGAACAGCCCTAAGAGATCATAAGTGTGGTGAGACTGAAACCCTGGTGAGGAGAGTTCAGCATCCCATGACTAATCTGCTGTGATCTCTGGTTCTCTAATTTTTCTGTTTTTTTGTTTGTTTGTTTTTAAAGATTTTATTTTTAAGTAATCCCTACACCCAATGTGGCGCTAGAACTCACAACCCTGAGATCAAGAATTGCATGCTCTACCAGCTAAGCCAGCGAGGCACCCCCTGGTTCCCTAATTTTTGAAGTTTCTAACCTTTGAAAAAAAATCAACTTTATGGCTTTCAAACTTGAGGCACTGTCCTCAATAACATTCTTTTCTATAATTTATATGCTTTTCTTTTCTTTTTCATCTGAAAAATGATGAATTTCCTTCCCACCCTATGATTAAAATACCAAAGACTAATAAAACCTTCAAAACAGGAGTTTGTGTTCAGAGAAATGGAGTGACTTATTTGGTTTCCAGACGTCAGACGAGATAGCAGAAGTTAACATCCTAAGTGGTTGCAACCTGTTCTTGGCCTCCATTTCTTTACTTATAATAGAAACCTTTCCTGAGAAACCCAGTTTTCCTCTGGTTGCATATTCTGAGTCTTTCCTTAATCACATGGAACAAAGAGCTATATCCCTGCAGGGGGCTTGCTTATGCCCAGATAGTGAGCCAATGAAGTTTCTTCATAATTCTCTACTACGTAAGTCTTAGGGGGTAAGGGCACTCTCTAGAAAGGTACCAGAAAATGCATTTCTGTCAGAAATATGTTCCTAGTATTCAAGTTATACTGACAATATTTTGTTGCTAGAACTCAGAAAGAAGTTCACTTTATTAAGTTTCTAGAAATGTTAGGTTTGCATCCAGTTTCCAAAACAATGGGAATTAGTTTGGCAAGAATAAAACAAGTTTGGATGCATTACGTAGCAGCATGCATTTTAAAACAAGATTCTCTTCTCACCACAGTTTTGATAACTGAAGGCCTTTGTCCAGGCAAAAGTTCCAAGAGGTGGAAACAAAGATGAAATCTCTTCCATCGCCTTACGAATGAATTATAGTTGGTTGAACCACGTCTGACCATGGGACTCTAATGGACAGATTATATTACAGGAAGTAACTGGGCACTTTGACGTTTCTTTTCTTCTTTACAATCACCTACTCTTGAGGGACCAAGGACTTATGCCCTGAAATACAGAATACTAAGCTTATTAACTCTGTGATCAAGAGCCAAATTAGATTCATTCACAGCTGAGGCCACAACGATTTGAAACTCTACTTGCCCTGTAATGCTTTGAAGTAACAAAGAAGAAAATAACACATCTCTTAGGAATCTTTTTCCTTCCTTTTAAAAAAAGGGCTTCTTTATCAGATGCAGTATCAATTAGCAAGTTACTGGAGACAGTTGCTCATCTGTAGACCTTAGTTTTGGTTAAATATTTCCAGAGGGAAGAATTTAACCATTTACTTGGTATTGTGCTATAATTAGCCACTTAAAACTGAGTCTGTTTGAAGAGACTTGTTACTGAAAAGAGTTTGATTATTCACGGATCAGTACTACCAACCAAGATGCAAATACAACTTCCTATAGGCAAATATTAGACAGTTGTGGTTGAGACTCACACAGATAGGAAGTAAAACTCTGAAAAGGAGATCATTTGGTTAATTGTCAGTGATATGTGCTGATAAACATGTTCAGAGATAAATGATATGAAACAAAGCTTCATTTTGCTACCATAGTGTTTTAGCTCATATTCCTGTTTAAATTTTGATATACTTTGGGTTAACTTCAGAGTCCAGGCCTCCTTGTGTAAGAAATAACAGTATTTAATTTAATGTATCACTAATCTTGCAAAAGATCATTTTGAAGGGTCTATTAAATAATCCAAATTTGGGAACACTACAACTTATTAGTTCGAGGTTCTCAGTAAGTTTATTCTTGTAGTGGCTGGATCATCAATCTTCATTCAGAGTTCTTAATTTATCTCTTTGATGGGAAAGTTTCCAGGATTAACTCATCCAACATTCCAGCGAAAAGTTTTACTGGCTGTAGTGACAGATAAAATTGGATGCTCTCGTGAATTAATCATACAGGCTGAAGTGGTACGGCTAGCTTGCAGTCATAAACCTTGGTGAATATGATAATTTTTTGAGAAATACTTTTCTGTGACAAATCATTTACATCCTTTTTTCCCCCAAAACTCTTACTTTGATAATTCTTCAAATTTTACAAGCTGTTTTAAAGTTCTTCTTTTAAACTGACTTACATATTACACGTGAAATTAGTGTTTTCATGTACCCAATAGGACAGTTGCCTAAAATATTTTGTATGGGTTTTCCTGTATTTGTCAAAATAAGCTAATTTGAGTGTCCAAAGAATATGGAGTGGCTTTAAAATTTAAGAACCTGTTTGTCAGGGCACCTGGGTGGCTCAGTCAGTTAAGCGTCTGCCTTCGGCTCAGGTCATGATCTCAGGGTCCTGGGATCGAGCCCCGCATCAGGCTCCCTGCTAAGCCAGAGAGTCTGCTTCTCCCTCTCCCTCTGCTCCTCTCTCCACTCATGTGCATGCGTGCTCTCTCTCTCTCAAATAAATAAATAAAATAAAAGAGCCTGTTTGTTTTAAATTCTTCAGGCATGTACTTATCTTAAGTAGAATCTTTCAATTCAAATGTAACCCACCTATCTAGACAGCAAGATGTGGAGATATAAACATTATTTGTGTGTAGTTTTACAAAATAGTTTACTTCTGTTTTGTTATAACTGTATGATGGGGAGAGTGTGTCTCCCCATAGAGAAATTTCCTCCTTGGGAAATGTGGCTCCGTCTAAGCTGCTTTCCGTTTTAAGGCAGTCCGTGCACGCATGATCATTATGAGTCACCAACTACTTGGAGGAACATAGTTGGCCTCTGAAAAGGTCCAGTTACTTGTCTTTTTTAGACAGTTTATGAGTTTGGATCATGTCAGCTTCTTGGCTAGTGTCAGTCAGCTCCATGACATGCTGCAAGCAAATACAAGCAAGGTGAAAATCAGTTAAAGCTGGCCCATAATTTGGCCTTAAGCTGATGCCTCCTCCTTCATTTATTTTTGATAACATACTTAATTGGTTCCATGTGGGCAAAGCAATTTACCCTGAGATGATTATCTCCACCAGTGGGATATGCAGGCTCAGCCATCTGCGAGGGAGAACAGTTGGTCCTGCAGATGAAGTGTTTGTCTGTAGTTTTCAAAGAGGCCAGGTAATTTTACAGATTAAAAAAAAAAAAAAATGCGCAAGTTCTGTTTATAAAAGGCAAAACTCTTAAGTTGATAAGCAGCATGTAAAAGCACATCAGTGAAACGGACAGAGACACCCTGGCGTTCCTGGCACCCTGACATTCTTTGGATGGGGGCTCGTCCTTAAATGCCCACCAGGCCCAGGGCACAGTCTAGAGCGTGACTCTCACCAGACACCTCTCTGCCTGAGCATAAATGAAGGCAAAGATACAAGTACCTGGAGGACAGTCTCTTCAGAAGGTAGGAAGGGGCAGTTCAGGGGTGGGGAGGGAGGGCTAGAAAGGGCTTCCTGGAATTGCGCATCCCTAGGCTGGAGCTGGAGGCCTGGGGTGCCTCCACATCCACCATGTGCCCTCAGCATGCTGCCCGTGGGCGTTGGATACGGTCCTGAGACAGCCCTTAGGAGGGTCACCTCTGCGCAGCATAGATTTTAGTAAAGAAGACTCTTTTCTTAGGTGATCCTTACCATCTCTAAGGATTCTTTTTTTAAAGATTTTGTTTATTTGAGAGAGACAGAGAGAGAGAATGAGCGGCAGCAAGGGGCAGAGGGAGAGAGAGAGAGAGAGAGAGAGAAGCAGACTCCCTGCTGATCAGAAAGCCCGATGCGGGGCTCGAGCCCAGGACCCTGGGATCATGACCTGAGCCGAAAGCAGATGCTTAACCAACTGAGCCACCCCGGCACTGTGTCCATTTCTAGCAATTCTTAACCCTGTCAAGTCAACCAGATAAAAGTATCAGATTGAGCCAGAGATATGGCTACTTTTATAGTTCCAAAATGGTCAAACATAAGGAGATTTTTAAGGATTCAACCTAATATTTATATTTACATATTGACATGTCTATATAAGTTGAAATGTAAGAATCATTGGAAATCTAGAGCACCTGTTTTTAATTGAAATTTTTATTGGGATCATTGTACATTTATAAGCAGTTATAAGAAGTAACACAAGGAGATCCCATGTTCACTTCACTCACTTTCCGCCCATGGTAACATTTTTAAAAACTATAGAATAAAATCACAACCAGGTTATTAACATTGGTATAATCAATCCACCTGCCTTATTCAGATTTCCCCAATTGTATTTGTGCTCATTTGCATGTGTGTGTATTTAGTTCTACACAGTTTTCTCACATGTGTAAGTTTGTATAGTCATCACCAAGTCAAGACACTACACAGTTTCAGTAGCACAAGAATTCCTATTGGCCTCCCCCCCCCAGTTTCCTCTCACCCTGCCCCCAACCACTGCCATCCCTAACCCCTGGCAACCACTAATCTTCCCTCCATTTCCAAAATGTTGTCATTTTTAAGATGTTATGTAAATGGAATCATACAGCATATAACCTTTGGGGATTTTTTTTCACTTCGCATAATTCCCTGGAAATTCATCCAAGTTGTTGGATGTATTAATAGTTCACTTTTATTGCTAGTATTCCATAAAATGGAGGTACCACCGTGTGTTTAACCATTCATTCATTGAAGAACATCTGAATTGTTTCCAGTTTTCAGCTATTACAGTTGAAGTCACTGTGAACGTTGGCATACAGGTTTTTGTGTGAATATTAGTTTTCATTTGTCAGAGATAAATGCCCAAGAGTGCAATTGCTGAGTCATGGTAGTTACATGTTTAGTTTTTTAAGAAACTGCCAGGCAGGCTGTTTTGAGAATCCTTTTTAAAAAATGAAAATGTCTAACTTCAGGATTCTGTGCTCAGTTTAAAAAAAATTAATCATTTTTCTTGATCCTTTTTCTAGCCACACCATATCCTGGTGGATTTAAGTGTTTCACCTGTGAAAAGGCAGCAGACAATTATGAGTGCAACCGATGGGCTCCAGACATCTACTGTCCTCGAGGTAAACTCTCAGTAGACAGATTGGGGTGCCCAGAGCTGCCCATGAGTGAACAGCCTTGTTGACTTTGATGCATAGAGGTGTCAAATGATGCTTGCAATCTCAACCACTTCTCTTGTCTAAGGCTATGAGTAGATCTTTTATCATCAACTTATCATCAAAGGCTTTTAGAGACATAAACTAATCGTTAGGATTGCCCCCTTTCTCATGAAGCATCATTGGAGCACCAAAAGAGGTAAGTGATCCTTCCCACCCCCAGGCCCAGCCAAATGCAGGACAAGAAGAGAACAACCAGCCTGTTAGCCACTCTTTGAAGCATTAGTCATTGTACTGTAACTTCTTTTATGTGAAGTATGAATTGATGTTCATATAAAGATCCCATTTATTACATATCTTGCCAGAGGCTTCTATCCTGAGAGTGTATGAAAGCTAGAATTCTAAAAGCCATCATTGCACACACACACACACACACAAAACCTGAGCTTTTTAAACTATTAAGTTCTTTTTGAAGGATGAGATGGATGCCCAATTGAAGCATGAAATTTTGACCTAGAGGTCCATTTCAAAATGATGTAGAGGCTTCACATTCACATTCATATCTCTTTTATCCTCTTGAATAAAAAAGATAGTTATATTTGGCTATAGAGTCATTATTAATTGGCTTTTAATTTTGGAGGACAGTCCATCTGATGGGGAGATGATGAGGACAGAGCATTTTACTGACAAATGGGTAGTTAGATGTGTTTCGCTGATGGTTTAATCCAGTTATTAAAATGACTGAGTACACCTAAACCAAACCTATTATTTTTTAACATGATGCCGGGGCTCTTACACTCACCCTCGTGAAAGGCACTCTGTCTCCCATGGAGGACTGGACACAGGGAGGTGGGAAGTGAAATTAAGAGACAGCTGTCAGCTGCCTAAGCCAGTGCTGTTTAACCCATCCACTTCCACTTAGGCTGCCCAGTAGAAACACCTGTGGATCTCTTCAAAATTGCTGGAACCTATGTCCTCCCTAGGCCAGTGGTCCTCAAACTCTAGCATGATCAGCATTCCCTGGAGGGCTTATTAAAACATAGATTTCTGCCCCCACTCTTGCCCCATTCCTGATTCAGTGAGTCTGTGATGGGGTCTGAGAATTTGCATTTCTAAGGAATTCCCAGGTGATACAGATGCTGCTGGTCTGGAGACCACGTGATAAGAAATGCAACTCTACAGAACTTGAACCAGCATCTCTGAGATCAGGGCCCTGCACTGGTGGATTTAAATATCACAGGTGATTCTAATGAACAGTCAGGGGCCAGAACCACTGGGAGCTCCTCTCCCCACTAATAGTAAGTGAAACGTACTGTTGTCATTTCCAACCAATTTCCTCTTGTTTACTTTTAGGTAGAGATGTTAATGGGGTGCCAAATGACCATAGGGAGGAGAAAAACATGGAGATGCTGAAGATTGGCTTAATCACAAGCTAGATATCCCACCATCCTGGTAAATCAAAGATAAGTCCTGTCTGCAGGGCCTTCTGCAATCACACGCTTATTTTGGACTAAGCCAGTGTTTTTCTAACATTACCCCTACAGAATGAACATTTGGATAGGTTGCTCATGGACTTGGTTGAACCACTGCTTCTCAAACTTGGTGGCATATTGAAATCACAGGGGAAGATTTTAAAACACTGAGGCCTGGGTCTATTCTCAGGGATTCAAATGGGGTGTGGCTGAGCATAAGGCTTTCTGAAATCTCCCAGGGTCATTCTACTAGGCAGCAAAATTTGAGACCCATTGTAAACAGTGACTCTGGATAAAACCATGATGGTTGGTTTGTGTAGCCAATAACCTTTGGGATGGTTTCAGCAGGGACAAAGGTGGCAGGTTAGCTTTTGAAACAGTTGCCACAAGTCGGATGTACTGCAGAGGACACGTGGCAATGCTTTTCTGGGCACTGCTCTAGCAGAGAGGATGCAGAGGACAAGGAGGGATTGTGAACTGGTGCGCTCAGGCTTTGGGCCAGATTTCACAGAGGCCCAGCCCAAGTCCGATGGTGGGCAAGTATATCCCTGTCACAAAGGAAAAACAGGTGACCGGTAGCATTTTGCTTGAATTCCTCTCAGGAAGGGAGAACAATCCCTTCTGGTGCTTCCTTCAAAGGTCAAAATCTGTCCTTCCAAAGTACAGCTATCTGAAAGAATCACAGTGTTCACACAATTCCTCTTTTTCCCTTCTTTCCTCCCACTTTTATCTTTTTGTCCTTAAATTTATAAGGATAAATGGAAAGTGATGCCCTGAGGTTCATGACACAGAACCACCATGCCAGGCTTTTCAGGGGATTATACAGCGAAAGATAGGAATCTGGTTTCTTCTTTCCGGGAGCACCCAGTTAGCTGGGGAGATCAGATCTGAACGTATCAAATGTCAAATATATCAGGACAAAAGCGCCAAATGAAGCATGGCGTTCCGTGCTGTGGGAGCTTATGGGAACAATTGCTGTTTGGGGGCTGAGGTGGCTAGGGATGGCATTGTGGACCCGGAAGAGGCAACAGCTCAGAAGTGGGCAGCGGAAGTAGAATGTCGAGGAGGGCGTGGCTTCGGGGAAGTCACTCAGAGCAAAGGTTTGGAGACGGGATTCCCAGGTGTGCTCACTGGACGGGGAGAGACCCAAACTGGGCGTAGCAACTAGTTCATGTCGGAGAATAGCGGGAACAAAGAAACGTAGCTTGATTTTTTTTGTGGGGGCCTTGAACCTGTCAGGGAAGGAGTGGAGACTAAAGCTGTAACCTGAGAAGAGATGGAGCCACACTTAGCTTCCTTCTTGACCAACCCCACTTCCCAGGGGCCATCCATCTTTCCCCCTGGGTGTTCTCCAGATTTTTCTCACAATGAAAATAGCGTCATAATTCTTAGATTAAAATCTGAGTTGTATCTAACTACTGAAAACTACTGACTAACCCTAAATTTATTTTTTTTTTCTGTTGATGATTAGTTTGAAGCAGCAATAGGACTACCAACAGGCTTAGTAAGGGAAGCTCAGTAGATGCTATGGAAAAACATCCTGGCTTTCTGTGATATTCTTAGGTTTTTGTTTTGTAACATGTTTAGGTTTTAATTAGCACATGATGTGAAAATAACTTGTTGAAAGCGAAAAAAACCATTTCTTGTAAGTATTTAATCTTATCTCTATGGAATAAGCCCACATTCCAGATTGCTTCGGGGATCACCTGGGTTTCAAGAATTTTTGAAAACTGAACTCGGTCAAACGGAGATACACAGAGACTATTGTATTTTAGCAGCTGAGGTAAGCTTGCTTACAGACTTGTCGTGAATCATTATTTGGCAAAATAAGCATCCAGAAAGCCTGGTCCTAACTAGAATCCCTCTGTCGGGCAAGGGTGGCATCAGCCAGCCTCCTCTAGCTCACTCAGGTTCCTATCACTCTTACCTTGGAAATGTGTGTTATGTAAGTATTTTCTTCTCTGTCACTTTGTTATTGCCTCTGGCACTTACAGATTCCTGCTACCATACAGGAGAATTTAAGAGCCTTCCATGGCTGGCTCTCATTGCTTCACTTGGCTGGCTTCTCTTTAGTCTTTGGTCTCTGAGCACTTACTGGACAATAACTAGAGTCAGAAAGGATCTTGAAATCATATTACATGAGGGACCAGTTAAAGGAACTGGTGAAAGAAAACAAGAGGTAAGAGTATGCATTTAGATCCAAAGGTTTTGCCTGTGTGCAAGCTTAAAAACCTTGAGAGAGGGGCTGTCTCAATGTTCATTAAGAGTCTGTGGGATTAAATGTCAAGTCAAAAACATTACAATTTTCAAAAAGGCTCATTCTGTGGAGGATGCCTAAGCAGCCAAGGCTTTTATGTTTCTTCTTGATTATGAAGTGCAGATGCCTCCCTTGAAGGCAAAATCTTCCACTTGAAATTACTGCCGATGCAAAATCAGACCAGGAGAAATCTTGAGATAGAGGGATACGTATCCTTTAGGCACCAGCTTCTGTGCTGCTCACAGTTTTTCTGTGCAAGTAAAGAAAAAGCTGGGCATGACACTGGGTGACTCTTTTTACATCTGTTAATATAACTGTGGTCCCCCGCATAACTGAAGACAAGCCCCATGGTTACAAATTTTCAGGAAAGACCTTTTTATTGTTGACTTCTTTCAGTTGGAGCCCAGGCTGAGACACATAGCCTTTCTGTTTTACTTTACCTTCGGTGGATTCTTTTTTTCTCTTTTAGGCAATGTTAGGCTATAGCCCTTCAAGGTTTCTACCATTCTATAGGGGTATCTATTCTAGCTCTAAACCCTGTGAAGACCCCAGGCTTCACATCTTCTTATAGTCCATCTATGAACACCTCCCAGCCTCCACCTCCATCCTGGGTAGGGAACTCAGAACCTACGGTGGCCCGTAGAATTTCCCTTACATTCAGGAGAGTTCATTTGTATATCAACAGAGGGTATTGGCTATATGTTATCTGACACTCCTGGCTTCTATGTAATAAAGTGGTGTTTAGGTGATCTATCTTGTCATATTGCTAAATGTTTTTAAAGTAAAAATTTTAAAATTAACGTGTAACATCCATGCCAGAAAGTGAATAGATCATAGGTGCTGAGCTCATTGAAATTTCACAAGTGAACAGGCTGTGTGTCTGTCACCCATGTTAAGTAACAGAACTTCAGAAGGCCACTAGGGTCCCCCAGTCATTACACCCCTCTCCCAGAGGTAACACAATTATGACTACTATCATTGAGCTATATATAAATGGAATCACAGAATGTATTCCTTTCTTTCCCACATTTTCTATGTGAGAGTCATCCTTGTTTTTATGAGCCACAGAGTTATTCTCATAGGTGTATATATACTAAAATTCATCCATTCCACTCTTGATGGTTTTTGAATGTCGTGAGCATTCTTGTACATGTGTTTTGGTACGTGTATGTATGAATTTCTGCTAGGTCTCTTCCGGGTTGGGGGGTGTTGCTGGGCATGTGGTATGCCTGCTTGGG